CGAAGCTCTCCCCGTTCTAACAGAAGATAAAGTATCTATCCCCCAGGAATTTGGAAGTTTGATCAGAATCCAAGATTTTCTCTCAAACTGCAATTTACTTTTTGCAGTATTACTACCCAGGAAGTTATTTCTTCAATGTTATCAATCGTTCGAGGTTGATGGTTTCGAATCTCGATTTCCTACTGAAGTTCATATTGCATGTTCTCTACAGAAGATCAAATGTGCCAGAATAATTGTCCAGAAGTTCACTGACTTCTTAGCAGCCGATTATTGTTATGTTTTCATAATGCATTACTAAACTTGCATCATTACATTGCATCTACTAAAACGCGTAGCATTTCTATTGTATGGAGCATTACGCTAAAAAAAAATTAATAATTCAAACATGCATGAGTATAATCCAATTATGTCCACTTATGGTAACCAGATTGTTATGCGCTCAGATTTGATTTATCTCCATAACAAGCCTAAGGGTGACTCTATTATGTTTCCCCAGCGGGGTTTGTTTTGATTCACCATCAGTCGGGTCTTTGGTATTCCTCCATCTCCCCAGTAAGTTTGTGGTTTGTGCTTGCCTTTGCAAGCCTTTGGTTATTTTACCCGTGTTTGCTTTGACCGTTAGAGTGCGAGTAAGAGTCGGCGTATAGCCTTTCTTATTTCTCAAGTATTTGAGTGTCCATACTTGGTGTGTGGTAATTCAGATAATTGCCACTCTTGAAGAATTACACCCCTCCTTTGGCCTGAGGTATTTTGTAGTTCTTGCATATTTGCAAAACTTTTAAAGCCCAACGCATGTTGGCAATCCTTGTTTAGAGTCCCTACAGTTGGTCTTTTTTTTCTGATCACAAGACCGCCTTCGACCGGCGTTCTGTTTAAGTTCAATACATATGGGATTCCCCAGTAAATCGTGGTTTACGCTTGCCCTTTCAAGCTTTCGGTTATTTTACCCGTGTTCACTTTGCCGTTAGAGTACGAGTAAGAGTCGGCGTATAGCCTTTCTTATTTCTCAAGTATTTGAGTGTCCATACTTGGTGTGTGGTAATTCAGATGATTGCCACTCTTGAAGAATTACACCCCGCCTTTGGCCTGAGGGATATTTTTTTTTTTTTTTAGTTCTTGCATATTTGCAACCTATCGAAAGCCTAACATGTTTTTCTTCGTTAGAGTCTGCTTGGACCAGTCCCTTTCTCTTGCAGAGTACACATTCGATCGGTGCTCTTTGAAGGTCCTGCTTAGTCGGTTCCTTGTGTTGGTTTATCCACGTTAGTCGGGTCCTCCTTTCGTTAGCCTAGCTAATCTTTTATGTTAAGAGTCTTTCAGTGTCTCTTCAAAGTCTAGTTGTCTAGCATCCTTATTTAGGCGAATGCGCCCTTTTATTGGGGCTTTCTTCGGTTAGTCTCGTTCATGTGTTCGCTAGCAATTCTAAACATTTGTTTCTTGATGATCAACTTCGCTCTTGTGTATCTAACTCTGACCAGACATGCATACCTGTATCTTTCAAAACCCCGCTTCGGCTGGTATCTTTTGTCAAAATCCCGCTTCGGATGGTGTCATTTCTTTTAAATCCACCTTCGATTGACATCATTTATCCGGAGTCCCATTCGTTTGGTCTCATTCCTCAGTAAGTCCGCCTTCGATTGTTGTTTCTTTGCAAGAGCTTTCTTTGATGTCTCTTTTGTGCGTATCCGATACCGACCACGGATATGTATCTTTGATATCTCTTTTGTGCGTATCCGATACCGACCACAGATATGTATCTTTGATGTCTCTTTTGTGCGTATCCGATACCGACCACGGATATGTATCTTTGATATCTCTTTTGTGCGTATCCGATATCGACCACAGATATGTATCTTTGATGTCTCTTTTGTGCGTATCCGATATCGACCACGGATATGTATCTTTGATGTCTCTTTTGTGCGTATCCGATATCGACCACGGATATGTATCTTTGATGTCTTATGTACGTATCCGATACCGACCACGAATATGTATTTTTGATACTTGCTTCATATGTCTGCTACCAACCCCAGACGTGTGTTCTTGATATCTTTATAAGAGCTTTCTTCGGTCTGTCTCTTTTGTGCGTATCTGATACCGACCACGGATATGTATCTTTGATGTCTCTTTGGTGCGTATCCGATACCGACCACGGATATGTATCTTTGATGTCTCTTTTTGTGCGTATCTGATACTGACTACGGATATGTATCTTTGATGTCTCTTTCGTACGTATCCGATACCGACCACGAATATGTATCTTTTCTATCTCTTTCTTACGTGTCCGATACCGACCACGGATATGTATTTTTGATGTCTCTTTCTTGTATATCCGCTACCAACCCCGGATATGTGTCTCTGATACTTCTTTTCGTATGTCTGCTACAGACTTCAGGCATATATCTTTTGATATCTTTCTTACAGGTGCGTTATTAAATCCCAACAGTTGTTCCTTGATAACCAAGTTATTCTGTTGTGTGTCAAACCCTGGTTGAACATACATCTAACCTGATAACCCCTTTTACCTAGCAAGAAAAAAAATATAAAATACAGAAAAAACCAAAAATAATACCTGACTGGCTTCGGAGCGCAAATTTTCGGGTTCTTTTAGTATTTAATCTTCTTCTACCTTGAAAGTTCGAAAGCCTGGCGCCAATCTCACCTTCAGGTTGAAGGCGATTAAATAGGGGCAGCTGTTGCACCCCAAAATTTGCCCTCCTAATTTCTTTTATTCTTGGCTTATACTTTTGTATTCATCTGCATCTATTTCATTAGGTCACCAACATGGCATTCCTGGTTGATGGGCTTACAAGCTCTTATGAGACCTTGAGATACATGATCATGGGCCATGTTCAAAGATACGAGGATAAGATTTGTTGACTTCGGTTAAAGTAAGCTTTGAAAAATTAACTTTGGGACCAAGGTCTCCCTTGAATTTTCATCTAATATGTGTTGGGAATTCGAGTTGCATTTGAAGAATGGCATGGTAAAGGAAAAGAAATATTGGTTCAGAAGAAAAAAAATTCATTAAAAATCAGGGTTTCTATTCATCGATAAAAGTTCAAGTAATTGAAGATCAGGGGAAATAAGGTTTCATATTAATCTTGATCATATTCTTTCATTATCATGTACATCCATCTTTGATGATTTAAGGTCGTCAATTAGGGAAGGACTTTGTCAAGATAAGAGACTTGTGGAGTGAATCGTGGAATATGAGGCATGATACAAAAGGCAAGGTTGTGAATTTTTTAGGATCAAGATCTTATTGACTATTCAAATTATTTGTCATTCAAGATTATTTGGGTTCAAGATTGAAGTTAGGAGTTCATTGAGAATGCAAGTGTGATTTGGATTTGAAGTTTGATTTGAGTTCAAGATGTTCGAAAGTGGTTGATTGGATTAAAGTTGGCAAAGAGCCTTAAGTATTGTTCATATGGCTTTCTTGGAAGGTAAAGTACAGACTGCGAGGTTTTGTTTCAAGTCAGAGTTCATACGCATTACAAAGATGTTCACCGTTATTTCAGATTCAAGTTCACAATGCGTTCAAACATTTATTCAAGAAAATACTATCCAATTCCATTCAATTTCATTCTCATTCATGGTTCAAGAAAATACTATCAAATTCCATTCAATTTCATTCTCATTCATGGTTCAAGAAAATACTATCCAATTCCATTCAATTTCATTCAATTGTAACAACACCCCACAAGAAAATTTGATGCTTTCATATCTTCAAGCATTTTTCAAGACTTTGTCATTTAAACTCCGTCCAAAAAAAAAATCCATCACCCGACATTTCAAGCTCAAAGTCATTAATAATTCACACTATAAATTTCAAGTTCATCCAAACCAAACATTCATTATAAAATCATTACAATCCCATTACACCAATATTCTACAAAAAAGAACTGTTACAAAATACACTTGAACAAAATTCTTTAGTCCTAAAGGTGCTAAAATTCCATGAGTAAACTTCTAATTCCATGCCATGCCAAAGTTCTTCGTCTTCAGTTCATGACCTGCACATTCATACAAAAAAAATCCAAGTCAATACAAGCAATCATGCCAAAATATCCTATGCTCATACAAATTATTCGACACATGAAAAAACCATTAATTAACCCAAACCAAACGCTAAACACATATATGGAAACAACCCAAAATGAAGTTTTACTAATTATGATTCCCGATCTATCTACTACTCTCACTTTCACTCCCTTTTTTCTGGTTGAGTCTTTTCAACAAACACCTTCTTCCCCATCTCTCCGAGGCTACCATGTTCCGGAGGTTCATTTTGGAATTTTCATCTCGACAAACGTTTAGAAGAAACCCCAGACATTTTGTTCATCAGAAGATACCTTCTCATCTATCTTCGCGAAAGGAATTCTCAAATGCATCTAGACCATCTTCGCAAAAGGAATTCTCAAATGCATCTAGACCATCTTCGCAAAAGGAATTCTCAAATGCATCGAGACCAGCTGGTGCCTCAGCTCCTGGTTCTACAGGAAAGCCGCCTGAGTCTCATGGTTCTCGATCAAAGTTTTAATTGGAAGTACTGCTATAAGTGCTGCTTATCAATTTGGTTTCTTAGATAAATATCTTGAGAAGGAGAAGCTTAGTGACCCTCAGGAAGTTCTGATAGACGATGCCATTGGAGATTTGAAGAGTGGACAACTTACAAAAGAGGAGTTAGTTTCACCCAGTCGTGCAAAGTCTGACAATGAAAATCATGTTGTAGAGCATGCAGAGCAGAAGGTTGATACCAGTCTTTCTCAGCCAGAAATTATAATAGAAGAATTCGATCATGATGATGAAACACAAGACCAAGAAGCTCAACGAGAAGGATTATTCTCCATGGGCGGAGATCAGAAAACATTTAATACAACAGCAGCGGCGTTTCACTTTATCCGTACTCTGACTCTGAAACTGAGTACGACTCGTTCGTTATCCAGAAGCATCAGGATATGGTGAATCGTCACAGTATGTGTCTCAGTCGCCTCATGGAAGCTTCCAATGAGGTTGAAGCTCTGCAGCAAGAGAACGAAGAGCTCCGTGCTTTGAGCAAAGATTTGCAGAAGAATCTGAACCTCCTAGTTCAGGCTTCACTGGAGAACAGACTTGGCCGTGGCGGCGGCTCCTCCGTTCAGACTCAATCGATTCCGTTAGATGTATTGCACTGTGCCCGTGGCTTGAATCTTGGAGATGGAAAAGAAAACTGTGCTGGTTACAATAACAATAACATCAATAATAATAAGGAGCTGCTAGAAGATTCGGATGAGAGTTCAACGAGTGTAATAGATGATAACAATGTTGATGATGAAGCGGAACGGTTCTCTATGCCGAAGAGCATTTCTGTGAGATCCAAAGGCTACGTGAAGGTGGCTCAGCCTCCAGCAGTCGTAACTAACAATAATGCTTGTCGCAGCACCAAAGGAGCTCCCCGCTCTCGTGCGTCTTCCACTCAACCAGATCAAGCTCAAAAGGTATATGTCCGAGGAGGGAAGAAAGAGGAAGAACCTCTTGAGATGACTGTGTATAATCAGGGGATGTTAAAGACTGAGCTGTGTAACAAATGGCAGGAAACTGGTGCATGCCCTTATACTGACCACTGCCAATTCGCTCATGGTATTGAGGAGCTTCGCCCGGTGATCGCCACCCACGCTACAAAACTGAGGTCTGTAGGATGGTTTTTGCTGGGGTTGTCTGGCCGTATGGCCATAGATGCCATTTCCGCCATGCACTGTCAGTCTCTGCCTATTGCTCACCGAGACTTGAAAGCAGAGAATCTTCTGTTAGGTTCAGATGGTTTATGGAAGTTGTGTGATTTTGGAAGCATTTCCACAAATCACAAACGTTTTGAGAAGCCAGAAGAAATGGGAATTGAGGAAGATAATATCAGAAAGTACACAACTCCCGCCTACAGAGCTCCTGAGATGTGGGACCTGTTCCTCAAAGAAGTTATTAATGAGAAAGTAGATATATGGGCACTAGGGTGTCTCCTTTTTCGCATATGCTACTTCAAAAGTGCGTTTGATGGGGAATCAAAGCTACAAATCTTAAATGGAAACTACCGCATTCCTGATTTACCTAAATTCAGCTCGTCCCTCACAGACTTGATCAGAGACATGCTTCAAGCTAGACCAGACGACAGACCAGATATCACGCAGGTTTGGTTTCGTGTTAATGAAAAGCTGCCTGTTGATTTGCAAAAGTCATTACCTGACAGGCCACCTGAATCGCCCTCTTCCGACAATCACGAAGGTGCTTTCTGGTCCACTATGCATGCAAAGGATTCACTTGTGTTTGTGAAAGCTGCAAACAGTGATTTTCATATTGGAATTCGAAGGAAATGAATGTAGATTTAACTTTCCATCAAAGAGGAAACCTAAAACGGGAACTCTTCCTCAATCACCTTACGCTACGGATCCGGCATGGTAACACCAACTAACATTTTCGTTCAACTCCTAACTTCTTCACATAGCATATTACCTCTTAATAACAAAATTGCCTTCAACAAACTTAGCTAAATCCATTAACCTCCTTTCACAATAGAATTTCTAACTAATTTGCTACTAAACTGTCATATTCCCTAACTGTCCAGCAGAAAAATAACTAAACAGTATCCTAGCTACTCTTCATTCCAAAACTAACACATAACCTCCCCTCTAACAGATTTTCCAGCTCATCTCTTAACTACTGTAACTAACTTCCTCAACTCCTAACAAACTCTAACTAACTCTAACTGCATCTTAACCTCCTAACAGAATTTTTGTTAACCAACCTCCTATAACAAACTGCCAGTACATATATACCAGAGATCACAAATAGAAAAAGGGGGACATAATAGAGAAGAGTTCAACACAGAAAAAAGATTGGATTACCTCTCAATCATCTCATTCTGCAATTTTGCAGTAGAATCTCCAAAAACCTTTTCCCTCTTCTCCTCTCATCTTCATCTCATTCTCCAACTGCACAATCACCATAAAAATACAGAAAGCTCTCTCCCTTTCTGCTTCATCTTCATCACGTTCATTCTTCACTTTTGAAAGAAGAATCACAGAAAATTATCTCTTTCTTCTCTCATATTCATCTGCCAATACACCAGAAAAGAACTCTCTTTTTCCTTGCCTCTCTGAAGAACATAATTCAGAGGAAGAATTCATATAGAACTTCACGAAAAAGGAGAAACTCGTCTCTGAATTGGCAGAATTTATCTATCAGATCATCTCTCTACGAATTCATGACCACAACTGCAACAATCTTCATCACCAATTGCTCCTCCTCCAATCTTCATCCTTAGCACCTTGACATCATCATCACCTTCGGTAAACAAAAACTTCGACATCAAATTGCAACAAACGCAAAACCAGAACCCATAGAGAGACAACACAAAAAGAAGACCGGAAGAAGATTCTCAAACGCGGAAGCAAAAGCATCACATTACCTCTGGTTTTCTTACAAACGTCACCGTTGAAATACCGTCGGAGCGACTCCGACAGGTAAGTCGAATTGCTTTTCTCCTTCATCGTTTCACATATTTCTTGCATCATGATGTAGAGAGTATTGCTCTTGAGCTTTAAAGAAATCGTCGCTTGAAGTTGCTGACAAGTAGAAACGTGGTAAGAAGCTATAGATACGGCGGCGTTGTTTCAATTGACGTAGGGAGAAGAGAAAGATAAAAGCTTGATTAAGAACCGAATGGAACCGAGCCAGAGAAGACGTAGCAAGTTCGTCAGAGAAGAGAGAAGAACGGAGTTTGTTTCGAAGAACCTCCGCCGCCGGCAATTTCACCCTAAACCCTTTTCAATTTTCCTATTTTTTTCTTTTTTAGTTTTGATTATCTTATTGTTTTATTATTTTTAATTCTAATTGATAATAATTATAACTAATTAAATAATAAATAAAATGTTGAAAATCTTTTTTGGGCAAATTACTTCAGCACCCATATTTCTAGACTTCATACCCCCTAACTTTTCTAATTTTTTCTTTTCTTTTATTATTTTAGTTTTTTCTTTTAGTTTAATTTTATCTCTCAATTGATAATGAAATGATATAAAATAATAGAATATTTTAGAATTCTTTAGAATTTCTTTTTAGAATTTCGATTAGAATTTTTTACTATTTTATTTCTCATATTTGGTAATCATTTTTATTGCCACTTTTTAGTCAAGATTTTTGTGATAGCATCGACATAACTCTGGCAGTGTGGAATACTCAGGGTTAATTCTTCAATCACTTGCCCAAGGGAACGTTGATAGAATTTCCTTACCGCTTGCATGGTTATGAAGAGGCGACATACCTTCTCTGTTCGGTATCGTCACAATTCTATTTTTACTCCTGCACTCTACTACTTTCTAGGTAGAATTCCATCAAGATTCTAACTTTAGGTCTAATACACGATAACATTAGATTTAGAAATAGGCTAGTCTTCCTGTGACTTTTGTCTTCCCGTGACTTTCGTCTTCCTGTGACTTCGTCTTCCTGTGACTTTCGTCTTCCTGTGACTTTCGTCTTCCTGTGACTTCGTCTTCCAGTGACTTTCGTCTTCCTGTGACTTTCGTCTTCCTGTGACTTCGTCTTCCTGTGACTTCGTCTTCCTGTGACTTTCGTCTTCCTGTGACTTTCGTCTTCCTGTGACTTCGTCTTCCTGTGACTTTCGTCTTCTTGTGACTTTCGTCTTCCTGTGACTTTTGTCTTCCCGTGACTTTCGTCTTCCTGTGACTTTTGTCTTCCCGTGACTTTTGTCTTCCCGTGACTTTCGTCTTCCCGTGACTTTTGTCTTCCCGTGACTTTCTTTCCTCCTTTGCATATGCAGTTAAAACAAAAAAACTTTTTTTTTACAAACTTCAAAAATACATAAAAATTTACTGACAAAAACCATGTCTTGGCTAAGTTTGAGAGATGATGAGCGGGTTTCTTCTCGACATTATTATTCTCTTGTTCTAAGCTTTGGTATGATTCAAGTCTCAAAGACTCATTTCATGAATAAGTAGAGAAATGGATAAAATCTCTCTCTTGAGGTTAACTAGCTATTATCTACAAGCAAAAAACACCAACCAACATAAAAATCTTTTTTCCCTCGGGCCTTTCTTTCAAACCCTTTTCAAAAGAGCGTATTAATTCACTTCTGTGCTGACGCGTAAATCTCCAAAGGTCGAGTTGCGGCAGAAGGCGAGATTAATACTGTTCGTTAAAGAAAATACAAACAAACAAAAACACATAAGCCGAACTACGGCTGCTCTGATTCCTTAAAACGGATACGTAGGCATTGGGGTAGGGCCCAGGCGAGCACAACTTTCATTTTCCCTACATTCTTTTCTCTTTTATTTTGCATACATTTTCCCTTAGCAGTAATAAACAGTAAGCATAGATTAAACACACTCATAAGATAGATAACAGGAGTGGATACCGTAGAGTACTACGGGCGTGTGGGGTGTTAATACCTTCCCCTCGCGTAACAGACTCCCTTACCCTTATCTCTTGGTCGTTAGACCTTGATTTCATCCTTCTCGGGTTTTCTCGATGTTTACCTTTCCCTACATGTGGGATAAAAGACGTTCGATGGCGACTTCATTGTTTGATGATTTTCAGCCGGTTGTTTCACAAAGGAAGCTGCTTCAACCCACTTCGTAAAGTAATCAATTGCTACCAGGATGAAACGATGCCCGTTAGATGCCGTAGGTCTGATATCGCCGATCATATCAATACCCCACATTGCAAAAGGCCAAGGTGCCGTCAAGACGTTCGCATCTTTGATAGGGTAGTGTGAGTCAGCATATACTGTCTTAGCCGGCGAGCAGCCCGTGCCAAAGCGCAGCAAGTTTTCTCAAGCAGTGAGTATCGGGTCTCACAGTTGGTAAACTTTTTGCTAAGGCAGTAAACAACATGCTCTTTTCGGCCAGACTCGTCATGTTGTCCCAGCACAGCTCTTTGTATTATCCAACACTTTTAAGTATAAGATCAATGGTCCTCATGCAATTGGAGGTATCAGAATTGGTGGCTTGGAGGCAGTATGGCCCTCTCTTCTTGAAGTAGCAGTCTAGCAAGTTCAACAGGCACTTCGCAATCATCTTCACCTTCGTCTTCGGCTAAGTTGATCGAACTTTCGAAGTCATAACTGGCAGTAGCAGGGTCGTTATCAGTGAGATCCAGAGTGGACGCAGACCTGTGTATGTGAGTGTGTGTAAAATAGTTGTTTTGCAATATATAAAAAAGAAAAACAAAGAGTGCAAAATTTGAAATGCAAGAAACGTCCAATGCTTTTATTAATGATATATGAAAATGACACACATAAAACCCTCACAAATGAAGCCACGGTGCCCCGGGTAAGACATCGGGCCGTAAAGTTTAAAACATTGTCTGTTACAAATTCAAAACAAAAAGTTTCATTACTGGGTAATAACAGAAAAGGGCATAGAATCCTTCGTTGTCCAGTTGCTTAATCCACCATTGGCAGTCGGGTAGATCCAGCTGTCAATATCAAACTCTTCATCATCGCCATCCCCAATAGCATTCACCCCTGCATCTTGTTTAGGCTTTTCTGATGCTCCAAACTCAATCTCCTTCGCATCGATCAAGTCTTGTATCTTATTCTTCAAAACCCAACAATCATCTGTATTATGCCCCGGGCTATCAGAGTGAAAAGCACAACGGGCATTAGGGTTATACTTTGGTGATGTAGTGTTAGGATTCTTCGGGGCCTCCCTTGGAATCACTAGATTGGTTTTCAACAACTGCGGCAGAATCTGAGACAAAGTCATGCTGAGACGGGTGAATTGCCTTCGAGGTCTCTCGTCCTTTTGTTGATTGTTGTACTGAGGAGTACCAGCAGGTTTTGAAATAACCACCGCATTAACAGCTTGGCGGCGTTCAGGTCTATTCTGTCTTTTCGAACTGTAAACAACACTAGACTCTTTCTTAAAAGGCTTCTTCTCGGTGCTTGATGAAGCACCCTTTTGTATCTTACCATCCTTAATACCAGCCTCAATCCTTTCACCGGTCATAATTAGCTCTATAAACCCAGATGAAGAGCTTCCAATCAGATGGTTGAAAAATGGACAAGACAAGGTCCCCAGAAACATATCCACAAGCTCCCGATCAGCCAAGGGTGGTTGCACTCTTCCTGCTAGGTCCCTCCACTTCTGAGCATAATTTTTGAAACCTTCGCCCGTTCCCATTGACATACCCTGGAGTTGGGTACGCGTGGGAGCAAGGTCGGAATTGTATTGGTACTGCCTGTAGAAAGCAGTAGCCAAATCTTCCCAACTACGAATACTGGCTCCGTCCAACTGATAAAACCATTCAAGCTGAGTCCCTGAGAGACTGTCTTGAAAGAAGTGGATCCATAAGTTCT